TTGTCCTTTTTTTTTCCCATCCCCCCCCGCCCGCGGGGGGGGGGAGGGGCGGCCGCGGGGCGCTTTTGTTGCCGGCGGCAGCCGAAACCAAAACACAACCCTCGGGTCAGCCATCTGGCTGTGCTCTGTTTCATGTTAAAATACTTATGTATTTTTTTGTAAGACATTCATTGCTATAAGTGTTTTCAAAGAAAACAAAGAAGTGGCAAATTAATGATCATCTAAATCCTTGTTAGTGTAAATACAGTCTCTGCTTAAAGTATGTTGCTTGGCAAATGTTTGTTTGTTTCTAGTCATGGAGTTCTTTGGGTTTGGGTCTTTATATTTGGGGTATTTTTCTTTAAGTCTATGGCTATTTTGTTAGTTGTGAAAGTAGACAGATGTACTGCAGATGTCCTATCTTTGAAGCAGAATTTTAGTACTCAGTTCTGCCACTGTATGTTAGAAGTAAATTATTTTGCTTCTGTTTCTCCAATTTTACTGTCAAGAGGTTACTAATTCTGCTGAGTTACTCTATTCTTTTGTGGGTGGGTATCTATGGTGACTCCAGGGACCTTAAGCAGGTTAGCTGTCTATTTTAAAAAAACACTAACGCTAGCTTTTTGGGACTGTGGCATCAACTGAAATAGAAACTGGTTGTCATTGTATTATGTATAGCTATAAAACAGATTTTTAAAACAATACATAAAAATGAAGATGGTATCATACATATTATTACACCATATAATTATAGCATACACTAACCTGCGGAAAGAAATGGGAATCGAGTAAGTTGATGAAGCAAATACCAGGGTGAAAGATCTTGTTATCGGAGAGAACAAACTGAAGGCAACTATATTGAAATGCTTTACAAGGAAAGATCAACAAAACTGAGCAATGTATGCCTACTTAAAGGAAATGTAACTTGCCTGCTAAGTAATGAAATGTGTGTGCAGCTACTTAGCAAAATTTCCAGGGCATTAACCCTCATCTCACACTTTGTCTAAATCTGAATTTTTGCCCAACATTATATACTCAACAATGCATATGCAAACAGTTCAAATCAATATTGAGAAGTGCATGTTCAATCTATAACTCTGGCTTTGGCTGTCTAAAGACAATAGGAGGATCACTTTCATACTATTACAAACACTTGACATTTCACTACATCTGATCAGATTCCGCAGTTGTCAGAACTGAGCCAGAGCTCTAGAAAGTGAACACACTCCACAGCTCTTTTCCTAGCTCTTTCACTGACTCTGATACAATATTTCCCCTTTCTGATTTTCTCACTGATTTAAGGTAAAAATAATGTATTGTGTATATGTATATATATCTATGGAACAACAGCTGAAAAGCTTTCCAAAATTTTTCAGAGGAAAAGAGCTATTGATATATGAAGTATTGTTTCTCTTTTTGCACTCCAGAAACGTGTAGTTGCCGAATAATGTGGAATTCTGTACTCTAAGTGTGCTCCAATATCAATGTTTGGCTTCAAAGTTTGTTCTATTCCTTCCAAGTCTCAAGGATTTACTTGTAACCTTTACACCTTCTTAAATCATGGTCATTATTTTTATTATAACTTTACACAGTAGCGGTGTGACCCAGTCTTAAAAACTGAATACGCATACCTAGGTCTTCTGGGATTCCCTTTCTCACACAAAAACATTAAAGCTGAATCAGCACTTTCCCTTTGATAACTCAATAGAGGGACAGGTCTCTTCAGGATTCCTACAGGAAAGCAAAATACAATTCAGACACTCTGTACCTTTATTTAATGTGTGTTTTGAGTAACTTGAAAAAAACAAAAGAAAGCAGAACAGTTAGAATAGTAAGGACTCAATGTCTTTACACAGTTCCTGATAAGCTCCCTGCATCCTTACTTTAATTTAAACTCATGGATGTTAGTGTTAGTAAGTGGGACCTTGCAATAGAAAACAGGTCTTCAAGAATAAGAACAGACATCCAGAAATCGTCACAAACAACTAATTCAGAATCAGTACCCAGACCCAGAAGCATTAACTTGATACCAGCTAGATCTAACAAAACGTCATCGTAGCAACACTGATCAGCGCTTAGAGGGTGAACTCTGGCTCATTCCCCGGAGGGAAAAAAAAAAAATCCTGTAGAAAGTGACAGCGAGATTAACTGAAGCAAACCTTGGCTCACATTGGCAAGACAAAAACTGAAGAAACATGTGTCTTACCTAGTTGAACAGCCTCTTCAATAATCTTTTTATTCAGACTCATGGCTCTCTGATCTGTCACTATGGCAACCTCCTTCTCCAAGGCCTGCAGTATAGCTGCAATAGCGAGGGCTCCCGGGGGCCCGTCGTTCTCTTCTGGTGGCTCATGAGTGAAGTGCGTGGGAAACCCCGTCGTTATCAGCACCGACCGAGCATGGGAGATGGACAGGCAAGCCTTCAGCAGCTCGTCCTGGCGCTGCAGATGAATTATGCCCCGGTCTCCTATAAAAGTGTTTTTAAAGAGAGCAGTATGCTTCAATATAACGTTCTCCTCTTGAAGTTTCTGTGTGGGTGGACCTGCATACTTTAACGATGTAAAATGGGTTAAAAAAAAAAAAAAGATAAAAAAAAGCTTCTGGTCAGGGCAGGAATTGGGGTAATTTCCTCAGGAAACCTAGGAAGGTGTAGGATATGAGTAATGAAGATAACAAGCTGTGCTTCCAGGTTAAGAATTGCAGTTAACTGGACTCTGAAAATTACTATACCTAGCATTTCTAGGTATTAGTGTAAATAGCTTTTTCTACTTCTGAGAGCTTATTTCACATTGTTTCCTCTCCTTTGGCCCTCTGCTTTCCTCTGATCCATGGTGACAGTCATGCTAGACCCTGCCTAACTACTGAAGCTAGATTGCAATTTGAGCATCCCAGTTCTTACAGAAGTTTTGATGCAGACTTCAGATGAATAAGCCTGTCTTTTGTCTCTATTTAACTCTATCTGCTTAGGGAAGAGCTAATTCCCAAATAAATTCCACTTAAATTATTAACCACAGAAGTGAGGTTTCAGAGACACTATAATTTACTAAAGGACTTTATAAACTCCATTAATGCTGTGGTACCCAGGTGACAGCTAAAAGATCTTGCAACACTTCATGTAGTAGAGACTCATGTTACCTGACTTTGAGATGTAGGTGAATATTAACAGATGTCTCTCCTTGTGGGTCAGCCCCCAACGAGGCAACGCTGTGTTATTTGTGTGTGTATGTGTCTCGTTGTCCAAACCCTTCCTATCCCCCCTCCCTTCCCCCGCACTCGGAAACACAAGTTCACAGCACAGTCCTCTCGATTTCCTAGCGCTCCCAAAAAACACAAATACCAGCATGATGTGCTGACGTTCATGGGCCAACAGCAAGAGGTACGCCCTCGCTGTTGTTTTCTAGCCTCCTCACATCTTCATCTTTCTCGCCTTCACCCCCGCCCCGCACCTTCCTCTCTTTGTCCTCAGTTTCCCCTTTGCCACTTCTTCCTCCATTCGTCCTACACAACACACAGGCACCATACAGATAGGGGACACAGAAAACAAAACTGAAGTAACAGAAGCAGGGAATTTTAGTCTCTGAGAAGTGGGGTACATTAACTGTACTGTACTCTCCTTTAGTAACAAAATGAGCTAACTCTGAAGTTAGGTCCTACACTTCTGCAGAGCGCGGCACTGTGCCAAGCTGAACTCCCAAGAGTGGGAAAAGGAGAGGCCTTGCGAGTAAAAATAAACAGACCCAAACATATGCACACAGCCCAAACCTGGAGCTCGGGAGAGCTGGGCGTAAGCTGTTTTCCACTACTGCCTACAGAGGATTTCAGAAAATTTATGGGAAACTGAGATCAGAATTTACAGCAGACAGAGTGTGTATTTTGGGAATGGTTGTGTAATTCAGTTTGCCTTTATTTCCCTCTCATCTTCCTTGTGCACACATGCAGCCCTACCCCTCAACCTTCTGTGGTGATCAGGTCACTTTGGTCCATCACACACCACCCCAGTGATGAATATGTCAGCAGAGCTTGACGTAATTCCTCCCATCAGAGAGGGATGTTTGAAAAGCACAAGCAACTACTCAAATTTTCTGGTAGGAGCAGAGGAGTCATGCGTATATGTAAAGAAAAGTCCTATTTACTCAACAGTGAGTACCCGTGTAGCTGTTACCAGGCATGCTGAGGTGCCCTGTACTTTACATACCAATTTCAGTTTTATTCAGTAGCAGTTCTTGTTCTCTGCGGACTCTCCAGTCTGCTGTAAACATTGATGCTTCTGCGTACTTTGACAGTGTACAGTCATCAAGATCAGACATTCCATTACCCATAAGGTTGAATGGTTTTGTCCAGACTCTGATATTAAGTACGGTAACAGAAAATGTAAGACCTAATTACATTAATTCACTGTATTCCACAAAGAATTTTAAAAATCTTTAAATTGCCTTTAGATTCTTGCTCTGTTCTTGAACTTAATGAATACCTAAAAAAGCAGGATAGGTCATATCCATCTCATAACAATCCACTAAAGGCAGAGCGTTTCTGCTTTTACCTGGATCTATTCCAATTAGGGTCTCTAGAGTCTTTATCTTTTGGGCTGCTTCTGCTGACACAATACTGTAATGCAGAGGATCTCGAGAAATGCAGCGGACTTGCGGGACTTCTCTTGACGATCTGACTGTGAGGTTGTCATTCTTTAGGTCGGTAATGAACATGCAGCCAGGAGAATGAGTAAAAGCTAATGGAGCCCCTAAAATGGGTGAAAAACCTTCAATTTAAACACATTGTTATTGCAATATATTGAAACATCAGAATGATAAAATCGCAAAAAGCTATTTAATTTAACCACACAGAGTCTCTACCTGATGACACTTTTACCACAAAAACAGGTGATATTTTAAGTTACACTGCAGTAATTAATAAACTTTGAGATCAGGTTTTTCTGCAATATCATCTTTAGTATAAATCTGAGGCAAGTTAGGTACTGAGCACTGGTACCCTCCAAGGAAGTCTGTCGGGAATTGGCAAGTCTGAAAATTGGGTTTGACATGCACGAAGAAACTAGTGCGTTGACATAAGAACAAGTTAATGCTTAAGTTTGCACAGTGTGTTGGTGATACTGTTTCTGTAAGATTAAATTAATTTTCTAGGTTCTAGAACGCTGCTGGAAGCTATAGTGTCTCTCTTGTACCTTTGAATATCCTTGTTATAGTGATATAACTATGGCAACTACTGTCTGCTGGCTAGGACCTGTCCTTTACCGGATTAAGAAAATGGGGAATAGCATCTCTGCGCAGTCTCTTGCTGACCTAGGAAGCAGACCTATAAACTGGCAAGGAGTAGTGACTGAAGGGACCAGTAAGCCTTAGCAAGGGGAATCTGAGTAGCATCTAAAACCCTAGTGAACGAAAAGCTTATTTAGACCTGACAGCATGGTAGCTCCCTAAGCTGAAAATATTTGCTGTTTTTATACTAATACCAGAAGTCTTGATCTAGATTATATTTGATTTTGCAAAATCAGTGTTTTGTTGGATAAATCACAACTGGTAGAAGCAAAATCTTACTTTGTTAGGATGGTGAAAAGGAAGCAGATATTTCGTTAACAAGTACATATGTGCTTGATCTCTGCTAGACCTGTTGGGAGTCTATGGCTAGTTAATTGAAAAGCAGCTGGGGAACATAGTGGTTGAGGTTTAACATAGTTTGCCAGACCATGTGAGTAGACAATATTCTTTGCGAGAAACTAGCAGATTCATCTGAAGTATGGGTACTGGTGGTGTCGCAGAATTTTAACTTTGGTCAACAGATTGTAGAGAGGTTGGCAAGTTTTTTTTCTCTCCTTTCCCTGCAACAAGGATGCATGAGGAAGATAATAAAACAGGAAAGAGCAGAACTTTCAGTTTGGATTTGGGACTGGAGACCAGGGGTTCTAAGAAAAAGATATCTCTGCTCCCAGTGCTGAACATCTTTACAGCAAGTGTTGAGAGCAGTGTAGATAAACATCTGCAAGGAACCACAAGGATGTAGGTCCTGCAAGAGAGAAGGATGAAGCAGGTGACCTCCCAAGGCTCTCCCAGTTATCCTGCCTATGACTATTAAGCTTCTTTTTCAGTAAGAATTAAAATATGAGATTTGATTCCACACTAGTGATTTAGAGCAGTATATAACACTGTCACTGTGGTTTAGACGCATTTTCTTGCCCTTTATGTTCATGCCTGTTATAAATGACTGGATAAAGCGCAGGCCAGCTCTGTGCAGAGGACAAAGCTCCATTTATGTAAAATGTGTCACATTTACTTCATTTTAGAACAAAACCTAAAAGTTCAAAATTCTTTTCCAGGTCAATCAATTTGCTAGCTCTTGACAACATATTGGAAAGATTTCTGGCTGCTTCCCTCCCCATCCCTCTAGTTTTCAATAATGCTTAAAAAAAGATGTTTTAATGCTGCCACAGCTTAAGGTTTGTCTTTAAAATACTCAAACAAGTGTGATGGAGTTTCAGTAAGAACTTCGTTGCAGGTAGGCCTGTATTTCACAATGGAAAATAGTCCTGCCAAAGGTTTCCTTGTGCTTTGATTGGGGTGTTCTTTAGCTCACCCTAAAATGAAGCCTGCTAATCAGCCAACTCATTCAGTCCACCTTAGAAAAAAGAGCTTGAGAGAGAAAAAAAGAGCTTGAGAGAGATAATTTTAAAAGAGTCTCCAAGTATAGTACATACTGCAGTTGATGACTGCTTCTACTGCTGTTACTCCACAGGCCCAAAACACTGGAACATCATCAGGATGAAGGTGAACTGGATCTCCATAATCTGGTTTGGAAAGATCTTTTATTCCCAGCAGACCTGGAATTGATCCAAAATGAAATCGTGAGAGGTTCCAATTAAGCAGTAATACTGCAAAGCCAAGGGGTTGGACCACAAACAGCATTCAAGCTAGAATTGCAACTGTGGCAAGTCCCACAGAAGTGGCATATTTAGTTTGCCTTTGAGTGCACGTCCCCAGAACCTGAGCTGACTTGTTTTCCCTTTTAGTACTTGATGACATCAGTAAAAATGTATTCACTTTATTTCTGCAACAAAACACAAGCTAGATGTGTATGCTGAGTTTCCAAGATGTTATAAATCTTCTCTATCAACAGAAGAATTATATTCATAACACTGGCAAACAAGAATAAACGACTGCAATGCAAAATGGGTTCTTCATAGAACATGATTTCTGGTGCTTTAGCTTCCCATGTTCTTTAGCTAGAGAAACAAGCAACCACTCTTTTACCTCTCTGGGTTAGATAACTACATCTAGCTCTCACCCAGCTTTCACTAAATTGTCTTTTGCTTTATTTTAACACCTCCTTGTAATATTCTGGGTCATTTTAAGCACTTGCTCTCTTCCCTTGGTTTTAAATTCTTCAGATGCTTTAATATACCACTGGATTTTCCGGAATTCATTTATACAATCTGTATATATATTCACTCTTTTCTGTTAAAAATAAATTAGTAGTGAAGACCCTCACTTGCCCAATCTTCTTGTTGCTCTGTTCAAAGTAATGACCTATTACTAGCTCCTCAGACTCGAGCACTCGGACCAAATATATTACTGGGGTGGAATGTTACCAATGACATCTCCTCCCGTGCTCTGCAATGTCATCCTTCTGTGTATGCAGCCCATGAGTCCTACTGATTGACAAATTTCTGTCAGCAGTGGGGAACTTTTTTTTTTCTATTGCGATCTATCTTCATCTTACAGGTGTTTGGTTTGGTTTTGGTTTTTTGCAAATAGCCTCCTGTTTTATCTTCTTTTTCCAGTTTTCCATTGCAAAGTATAGGCCTATACTTGTCTGAGCTGGATTTTTTACAAAAATATATTCTTGTCATATTTCTATTCATTCTGTCTTAAGTGTTGTGCTCAATGTATCCTATTTCAGCATTTTTAAAAATAATGCAGTATTTACTTGCACAGTCATCCGCTAAGACACCAAATGCATCCACGCGTACTTCTCCCCATGCTGTCAATCATTGCTACCCTGTCACTCCGACAGCGAGAAAGTATTCACACATAAATGAAACTGAATACATTTTAGAAAAATGTGATTACACTTTCTTCCCAAAACCACTCCTGCCGTATAACTTAACGACATTGGAAAGCTATCTTTTATCCAAGAAATCTCTGTGTTCAGCTCATACAAAACCTACTTTATTCTACCCTGAGGTTTGTGACCATTAGAAAGGATTAAAACATAACATTCACTGGTGCGGGTGTTTCAGCCCTACCCCTTCCTATGGTTTCCACCCCCCCTTCATTTTTGTACACAGTGAAGTGCATGTAGAGTGAAAAATGAAAAGCGCTGACCAGGGTCACCCATGTGAATTGGTGCTCCATGGGCTTCTTTCAATGCAGATGTTGCTAGCACAGCTGCTTCCAACTTGCTTTCAGGAACAGGTCTCATTGTGACTACCAAGTTGCAGCTAAAAGCAGAAACATTGTAGCAAGGGACAGCTGTCTGGCAGTGGAAAAGAATCCAAGGTGTTAGCAAGAATATAATACCTCGAAGGTATTAGAAGAAGTAAGTCTAAAACTTTGTGCTGTACTTGACTTTCGAAAGGCTGCATACTAACATCCATTTTAAATTCTTTAAAAAACACAATTTTTTTTCTTAGCATCCTTTTTTTTTTTGTAAGATCCAACAGTGCAGGAGTGAAGCATTCCATCCTTGAGCTTCTTCATATAGATCACTAAAATGTGTACAGAACGGGAACGGGAAAAAGCTAATAAAAAGTATCACACAGCAACAAAGCTACTTGGTCTGAATCTGCCCTCTGTGTTTGAATTCAGGGGAGCTACAGTGCTCTGCAAGATGCAAGGGTCAGGGAGTCCTGCTGCCGGCAGGACCCGCTCCTACAGAAGCAACATGCTGGTTCCACTCACAGAGACTCTTCTGTGCCCCTAAGAACGGTTCTGTGGAATTCATCATCCTCACTGACTGGGATGCTGAAGCACCTTTTCTATTCAGACATAAAACAGTCCAGCTTTTTAGAACAAAATGTCTGGTATCTAAGCTGCATGTGAACATAAGCAAGACATGTAGAGAGACAGAGATGTATAGAAAATGTTCCTTAACAATCTTTATAATAAAAATCATGATACCTGTCACTGAAGAAATGCACTGTACAGTTCTTCACAGTATTGATGTGCTAGAAACTATGATATTTTCCTAATTCTGAAATGTTATAAACAGGTACCAGGTATAGTTGTATTTTTTTTTTTTTATTTAAGCTTGGTAGAAGGACTCACTTATGAGATAATTTGCATCTTCATTTTGACTGGGAGTACAGCAAAAAGACTGTGAATTTGAAATTTTTGTCTAGTAGAACAGCATACAAACTGTATGCATGCAGATGTATACTTAAGCATTATTAATACTAAAGGGTGTACCTGCTGGAGCCAGAATTATGCTAGGAATTCTGCCAACATCAAAATCTGCACTATAAACTTTCAGAGTACAGTTATAACTTTCAGTTCTACGGTAGACACCTCAAGTTTTTGGGAACATCTTCTGTCCAACAGGTCTGGGTTCATAGCAAATAGGCAGTTTAGAGGCTCTACTGTCACAGGAAAAAAACCAAAATGTGGCTGTCACACATGCAGGAGAAACTGCTGCTGTCACTGCTCATAAAAGGAATATTCTGACTGTAAGTCGGACCTGGTGTGGAGAGCAGGACATGTGTAAAGGCAAGGTAACTAGTGGTGTCCCCCAGGGGTCAGTACTAGGCCCAGTCTTGTTTAAATTCTTCATCAACGACCTGGATGAAGAGTTAGAATGTTCCCTCAGCAAGTTTGCTGATGACACCAAACTGGGAGGAGTGGTAGATACACCAGAAGGCTGTGCTGCCATTCAGAGTG